AGCTGGACAGCACTGAGTAAGGCCAGAATGGGTGTATTGTTCATTTTAAATATTCATTTGTGTGTGTGTGTGTGTGATTTTTTTCCATTAGAGTGGTTGTAAAACCCTGCATAGCAGGAATAGGCCAGATAGACAGGAATGGCTTTCCCTGCACTGTTTTTGTTCCCAGGCTTTGAAAGCAGAAATGGCAATTTCTGGAGAGTCATTTCTTTGATTCTTTCATGTGGATGGATTGGTTTTTTTCCCAAAGAGCCTTTTTACAAATCTGAGATGACTTTTTCTCTTTCTGGACTATGGGTAGGAACCAGAGGAGGAAAACCAAACCAGGATGAAATTCAGGGTGTTCCTGTGAGCTTCTGCAGTTTCCCTTGAACTCAGAGTCATTCAGGCTCTTCTCCTCTGGTATCAGATCACTGTCTGCATTGTACTCAAGTCCACCAGGCTTTCATGATCCAAAGCAACAGCTCTTGTTTCCCTTTCTCAGAGAATCTATTCCTTGGCCTGACATTCTCAGAAATTTAACTTTTATACACCTGCCTTATTTCCCACTGCTTTCTCATCTCTTTGTGCCATTTCCTGTTGCACATATATTTATCATTGAAGAGGGATCATGAGCTCCCCTGAAAATGGCAGAATTTTTTTGAGTCTCAGCTGGTGTAATCTGAAATGCCCTAAGTGCTTTCCTTCACCCCAGCTCCCAGATCAGAAGTGTTCTTGTCCTCTGCATGCAAGTTTGTCACATCTGCCAGATCCACACGGTGGTCTGGAATATCCTAAAGCATCTCAAACATTGCTGGATTCCCACCTATGATGGTTGCACTAAGCTTTGATCCTCCTTTGAGCAAACAGACATCATTTAACCAAGGACACCCTGGGGTGAGTCTCTACAGTAGGAGCTGAATCCTGTCTGAAATGTCTTGTCAAACTCACTGTGATGTGAAGGAGAACTACTCCCTGGTTTAGCTTGGATTTTATATGAGATCTTGGGTAAATCCTTCAAATCTTGGCGCTTCATCTGTCAAAAGGGACATTGTAGAGCTCTGCCTCCTCATGCTGAATGTAGGTGAGCAGATGTCTCACTGCCAGGACTTCAGGGCTCATCCCTAAAGGAATCTGGGGGATTATTCCTTGTGCTGTGTCATTCAAGACACAGGGACTTGACTCCTTGGTAGTGCTGACTTTGGCCAGTATGTCATTCGTGGCTTCCTAGGGCAGAGAGGTTTGAAGAGAACCCCAGTCTGTGCCAGTCTGACTCATTGTGGGCAGGTGGGATACAGATCCCAGAGCTTCCAGCCCCACAGGAACTCATATGCTCCTGGCTCGAGAATGCCTGCAGAGATGTGGTTGTGCATGGTGGGGATGTTCCACTCCCAAGGCTGGGAACAGAGTGGGAAGAGTGGGAGTGGGATTTTTTCAAAGTGACTTCAGTGTTTACCCAGCCTCATCCCTTTGATAAACAAACATTGGAAGGGAGTTGAAACCTACTCATGCTCCACCAAGGTGCATCAGTTACCACGTGCAAGAGTCAGAATCAAAATATAAAATGATTGCTCATGTGATCCAACTTTTCAGGACTGTTTTAGTTATAACTGAAGAGATGTCTAAAGTTGCTTAGAGATAAAGTCTGGAGAAGTTGAGAGGAAAAACAGGGATTGTTTATCTCACCGTCCGTGAGAATTGTAAACTGCATGAAGATGGCACAGGCTAGAAGTCACAGGGAAAGTTGGGAATGGGAAACTTGTGGTCAAGATGACAAAAGTGCTGTGTCATTTAGGTCTGTATGAAAGAGCTAGGGAATAGTTTCTGTGGCAGTAAGTAAGAGTGATGTAAAAGTCTTAACACTACTCCATAGTTACTGCTGACGTCCACCTACAGATCTCCCCCCTGACACCCAGGTCCAGATCCTGCTCATCACCAGGGTGCCCAAATTCACATTCAACACAAGGCTTGTGAACTTTCAAACAACAGCAAAAATATGTCAAACTGCCCAAAGATCCTTCATTGCCTCCCTCAGATCTTGGTGCAGATGAAGAGACAATGAGCTGTTCTGTACTGGGGGGGCTCATCCCGCCTGACTGCTGGTGCTCGCACGTCCCCTGGCAAGGGATGGAGTCAGACACCTTGGGAGCATGAGTCAACCCCTCCCTGTCCCACACACGGGTGTCAGGACAGGCTGAATCACTTTCTGGGGGTGTCTGCCTCTCTCTGCTGGCTGGAGGAGACGTTCAGATGACTGTCAGCAGCCCGGGTGCCGTGTGAGTGACTCAACGCACGCACTCTGAGCAATTTACAGCAAGGGCTGTGATTAGTGGAGGGTTCTGCCCTGAAAACATTAGGTAAAGCCTTTATGTGCAAACTGGGGGATTGTTTTGGGTGTATTTTATTCCTCTCTCTTTTCTGGAATAAATGAGCCCAATAGAAACATTTTTAATCCAGGCTGACACATCTGTCTCCTGTGGGTTGGTGTTGCTTGAGTTTCGCTGTACAGGTACAGCTAATGCTGTACAAGTTTCTAGTAAAACAGCACTAAAATAAGGCAATAAGTGACATATTTTTTCTCTGCTTATCATGGAAAGTTTTTAAACTGAATAGCCAAGAGGTAAAGCAACAAACAGTACTTATACACATAACAAAACTTTGTGGCATGACTCATCCTTCCAAAACTGTTAATAAAGTCTACCAATAATGTAACTCATCTTGTAGGTTAAAAATGAATCTAATCTACATCTGCTTGAGTATGAGGCTGTTCATATTTAAGAGTTTTCATCCATTATGGGGAGAGACTGAGGGAGCTAGGCCTCTTCAGTCTGGAGAAGACTGAGAGGGGATCTCAATAACCCATATAAATACCTCCAAGGGGTGCCAGAGGATGGTGCCAGACTCTTTGCAGAGGTGCCCAGTGACAGGATGAGAAGCAGTGGCCATAAAATAAACCACAAGAAGTTCCACCTCAACATGAGAAAGAACTTCTTTAGCTGCGGGTGGCAGAGCACTGAACAGCTGCCCAGGGAGAGCATGGAGTTCCCTCTCTGGAGATATTCCAAACCCACCTGGATGTGTTCCTGTGCCACCTGCTCCAGGTGATCCTACCTTGGCAGAGTGATTGGATGATCTCCAGGGCTTCCCTCCAACTCCAACCATTCTGTGAGTCTGTGGCTGGAATCCCCAAGTTCTATGTGCAAGTGTTTCTTAGTGAGGACTTGAACTCAGGGGAAATAGTGATTTTCTTAAAGTTTCCCTCTTGGATAAGGCCACTGCTCTCACTGTTTTGCTGTTTGCTGTTTTTTAAAGTTCATTCTGAAATTCAAATTTCCATCTGAGCCCAAAGACAAGGGATTCAGAGGGAAACCTGAGAGCTGATGAAAAGGTGTAGTTTTGGTGCACTTTGCAGGCTGTGAGAATTCCAGTGAGGGCAGAGTTGGAGTCTGCCATTCTTCCTGGCCTTCTTCTCCACCATCTCTCCTTCAGACACAGATAGATTGGAAGGAGGGAAATCCAACCCTGCCACACTGTGGGGTGGGCTCCTCAAAACCAAGATAAATTCTACAGAGTGAGGTCTGAGGAGTCAGTGGACCTTATTTGCATTCCCATGGAAGCAAGGCCCCTGTGAGCAGAAAAAAAAGGAAACAGGAGATGAAGAAATTGAGGTTTTTCAGGCATTTTACCTTTTTAACTCTGAGCAGCTGCAGCAAGATGTTCCTTTGATTTTCTTAAAGAAGTAAAAGCCAAATAGGATCTGGACCTACCACCCAGTTACACATCAGAAATGGAGGGGCATTTCTCACTGTTTTGCTGGGAACCATTAGCAGTTTTTCCCTTGGACTTTAAAGGTGATGTTCCCAGATAAATCTTTGGCTAAGGCCCAATCCAACCACAGCTACCAAATTTCTGAGCTTCCCAAATACAGATTTTGGCTCATCATCTGTGTCCTCACCTGCAGAACAGTTGTCCAGTGAGCAGCAGTGTGGGCAAAGGAATAAGATGCCAGCAGCTCTGTCTTTTCCCAGGAATCTCTAAATTAATTTTTTAATGTGATGCTTTGCTTCACGAGTTATTCAATCTACCCTTGTGATAATCAATGGAATTGTATTTTTAAAAGCCTCTCAAGTGTGGTGGGGCCACTATTTTATCTTCTGGAGGAAATAAATTGTGTAAGTGTTGGGATGGAGAATAAGACCAGGTCCCTTTGGAATATCATGGGGTGTTCTGCCCCATGTCAGGGTGCAGCTGGATGTGTTGGGAGCTGAAGGTGACCCCAGTGCAGGCTGTGCCCTCCCAGACATGACTGTCACTTGGATTTGTGCTCCAGGCAGGAGGCGAGAATGAGGAAGAGCTAACTCCAGTAGAGGTCTTGGGTCCATCCCAGAAACAGGGCAGGGATTTGCTGGAGAGATCAGATCCTTTGTTTTGGGACTCTTTCAAGGGTATTGATGAGTCTTGATGCTCCCTGGATTTATCTGCATGGGAAAAAAACCTTGTTTTTCTGAAAGGCAAATGCAAATGGGGATCCCTGAGTAAGGCAGATCAATGGGAATGTTGCCTAAATAAAAGTATTTTAGAATAAAAAAGAACCCAAGCAGTTGCAGGGAATACAGGTGTCCTGCTCTTGCCGTGGTGCATTCCAAGAGAGATTCTGCTCTCCAAGAAAGTAACTTTCCCACTTGGGCTTCAGCATTTAGATGGGATCTGGATTTCAAACTCTCCAATGTGGATCCAGTCAGCATGAGCACAGAGGCTGTTCCCTACTGGAACCGCCAGGGTGGGGTGGCAATCCAGTGGCTCAGGAAGATAAGGACAAGGAGTCAGAGAACTCCTGGATACCATTTCCAATTCCCACACTGATATCTCTGTATTTCTCTCCTCCAGACTGTAAGGACAACCTGACGTGAGTTGAACCTTCAGGCTCCAGAGCCTGCCCCAGATGCAATAATTTAGTGAGCAGATGATGTTTTCCACCAAAGCTCCTGTCTAACTCAGTGGATCTGTGTGTCTTCCGGCAGGTGTGTCCTCTGTGGCCTCCCTGATGTCCCTGGCTTGGGTGCTAGCCTCCTATCACAAGCTTCTTCGGGACTCTAGGGACGACAAGAAGAGTATGAGCTACAGAGGGGCCCTCATCCATCTCTTCTGGCGCCTCTTCACCATCTCATCCCGAGTTATTTCTTTTGCTCTCTTTGCTTCCATCTTCCAGCTCTACTTTGGGATCTTTGTAGTGGTCCATTGGTGTGCCATGGCTTTCTGGATCATCCATGGTGGGACAGATTTCTGCATGTCTAAGTGGGAGGAGATCCTCTTCAACATGGTGGTAGGGATTGTGTACATTTTCTGCTGGTTTAATGTCAAGGAAGGGCGGACTCGATACCGAATGTTTGCGTATTACACGGTGGTCCTGACGGAGAACGCTGCCTTGACGCTCCTTTGGTATTTTTACAGAGATCCTGACACCACTGACTCCTATGCCGTGCCAGCACTGTGTTGTGTCTTTCTTAGCTTTGCTGCTGGGATAGCTTTGATGCTGTTATATTATGGTGTGCTGCATCCCATGGGGCCAAGAGCTAAGATCTTTGCCAGCTCCTGTTGCGCCGAGCTGCTCTGGGGCATTCCTTTGCCCCCCGATGTTGAGCCCATGGCGCCCCAAACCCCTGGGTACCGGGGGGCCCAGGCTACGCCCACCAGAGCGGTCACGGAGCAACAGGAGGAACTCACAGCTGACACTTGCTTGCCCGTTTTCCAGGTGAGAGCAATGGTACCATCTACTCCATCTGGGCGACCCTACCCCCCCGAGGGGCCTCTCATTAAGATTGACATCCCAAGAAAAAGATATCCTGCCTGGGATGCTCATTTTGTAGACAGGAGGTTAAGAAGAACTATCAACATCCTCCAATATGTCACCCCCACAGCTGTAGGTATTAGGTATAGAGATGGACCTCTCTTATATGAGTTACTACAATATGAATCTTCACTTTAAAGCTCCTTAAAGCAAAAGTAAAAGAGGGGACCTTATTTTTGTTTACGGTAAACACAGATCATGAAACAAACACAAACCTTCAGATAAGCTTTCTTTCTGGTTGCTGTATGTATAAAAAAAAAAAAGATATTCTCTATGTTTTGTAAGTAAAAACAAAAAGAAAAACTTTTCTTTTGTTTTTTACACACAAGAAACAGTATTTCAACTTCCACACCTAGGATTCACAGGTGGAGAAGGAGGCATCTCCACATCAGTTTTATACCGTACACCAAGTGTAGAACATTATTTATGGGATTGGTGCTGATTGAAAAATAAAAAAAAAAAAAACAAACAAACAAAAACCTACAACTGCCTTATGCCCTTAGGTGCTGAGTTTCATTAAGTACTGTCACCTTTCTCATGCAAAACTCTTTGATGATTATATGCCAGGAAAAAAAACAAAAGAAAAACCAACCATCCAACTGAAATGCAAACCTTTAAGTTAAAAAAGAAAAAAAAATTAACAACAACAAAAAGAGAGAAATGTATTAAAAAAAAAAAAAGTCCTGTTGCTCATATTGGAAATAGCAGAAAAAAACCCTCCAAATGTCTAAAGATAAGAAAGAAAAGATAAGAAAGCAAAGCCAAGACAACCCCAGTGGAGTTTGATTTTTCCAACAGCTGAAAGACAAAATCAGGTCTGTAAGATAATTTGGCAAGGAATTTATAACACCATTGGGCCAAGCCTTGACCGAGTCATGTTATAAAGGCAACCCCACCCTGGGACCGTTTTCCTCGTGGAAATGGACCCTGTAAAAAGGTGGGATTGTACCAGATCAGAGTGAAAATACAGGATCTGATCTTGTTCCCAACAACTGCTCGTGCTAAAGCCCCACTGTCTCCAGTGGAGCAAATACCAAGAGTCTGAGCCCAGAATAAGGCCTGCCACCTTGATTTCTGGAAAATGTGAAAATTATCAAAATTATAAACCAAAAAAACATGATCTGAAAGTACATTTCCACATATCTAATAATTATTTCAGTAATAATAAAACTCAGCATGGTAGCAAAAAGCGAGTCAATTTAAAGGCACAATACTTGATCAGTGACTGGCAAAATAATTTGACCTACTGTATCATTTTAAGGCTGTGAAAGGCATACATGTATTATTTGTAATCTCGTGTAAGACCTGTCATGTCTCATTCAGTGCGAGCCTTAAAGTGATTGTAAAGCATCCTTTGTTCCATTTTGGGGATTTTTGGGTTTTGATTTTCTGTTTTGTTTCTGTTTTGTTTTTAAGGAAAACAAAACATGAAAAGTCGGGATTAAAAAAAACACAAAAAAACACAAAAAACAAACAACAACAAAACAACCAACAAAACTTCTTCAAACGGTAATAACCTGTAAAACTGACTCACGTCTCGAGATGAATTTGGTGCTTTGTTATTTCTGTTGATGTTGTTGTTGTGATTTAGCTGAGAAAAATTCTTCGACTCGGTTACGTGTGGGGAACTGCTGATAAAAACTGTATCGTGTCACCCTCTACTATAAGTACATGGCGAGAAACAACAACCAGAGGAAACCCAAGAGCGTAGCGAGAGCGCCGTGGTTTAGCTTAGCCTTCCACCGCCAGGAGATGCTGCCACCTCCGATGCTGGCAAAGCTGTGGGGTTGTCTTGACATTTCCAAATAACCCGCTCAGTGTCTGAACATTCTCATCTCTCTCGGATTCTGTTTCTGTGCTGGAATATCTTGGGGTTTTTGGTTTTTTTTCGAGTTAAATCACCGGGTTTGCGTCTATCCAACACCCTTTTTCCATTTTGAGAGTATTGCTCCTTTAAAGGAATATTCCCGTTTCAGGGCATCTTTTCAATCCCACCATCCCTCTAATTGGGAGGGGAAAAACAACAACAACAAAATGAGATATTTTTAAGTGAATGCTGTAGTATTTTCTGTGTGTAATTGCAATTTTTTATTCCAGAAATACTGTAACTGTCTAGGGTGCAAAACTCCCATGCTGACCTATTCTGAAGAGAAGATCAGCATGGAGGGATATTTTTTAATTATGATTATTTTTTTTTATTTCAGGAATCAGTTGTTTTTTTTAATTATGATAGTATTTAAAGAAACTAGTACCAATTTTATATAACAGTTTAAAGAAGCTGAATGCTTTCTTCGCCTGAATATACCTGAAGAGAAACATTTTTTTCAATCAGTGATCCTTTGCGGTGTTCTGAGAAAACATTGGGGTTTCTTCAGTTGTTTCATTTTGTTTTGTAAAGGAAACTTTCAACTGGTGTCTGTCCCTTTCAAGGAGGGCAGGGCTCCTTCACGCCAAACTATAGACACATGGCAAAGTTTATACAAAGCCAAATTGTCAGTGGTACTGTAATTCCCAGTCAAACTCCATTTCAGGCAGATGTTTCTGGGCTCTGATTACAACCAATGTGATGGTCACATTTTCATGCAAAGGGAGGGATTTGGTCTTGTCATCCCCTGTTTAACTCCCCAGACCCTTGTTTGCTGTGCACATAAAGACATATATGTATATATATATATATACATGAACTGATATATATTTGTGAAAAGCTTTCATTCCCCTTCTCCATTGTCTGTGCCCCACAGCCAATTCCTTCTCAAGTGTTCTGCTAACATTTCACCCTGTTTCTCCCCTGATCAGTGTGCTGTTTCCATAAAAAGAGGTAATTTGTGAAGTGAACTCGCTGTCCCCACCTGCTGAGTCCTTAAAACACAGAGGTGCCCATCCTCCAGCTACAGGCCTGCATTTCTCCTTCCAGAACTTTCTTTTGACTTGCCTTTAATGTTAGTGTAGACTTATCTTGATCTAATTCCCCATTTAAAGGCTCCCCTTGATCCTTGCATGAAGAACTCTCTTCCTCACATCTGCATTTCTGAGGCAAAAGCATGAGAAAGGAATGGATGGCAAACAGCCCTGCTGTTCCTCGGGGACCATTTTCCCAGGAGGTGGCATTCTTGTTTTCTAAAGCACCCTAAGAAGGTTCTGCTCCCCAAACTCATCAACCTTGAGGTCTGGAAATGTGGTGCTGATCACTGACCCCATTGAACAGCCAGACCCTTCCCACCAGGACAGTGACAACGAGCCAAGGCACAGTCACCAGGTGCCAGGAGGAGGAGACCCTTCAGTGTTGCCTCTCAAGAGCAACTCCAGCCTGCCTTCCCTCAGGAACGGGATCTTATTCCACAACACACACCAACAGCCGTCGCCTCCGCCCCATGCCAGGAGTGGAGGGGCAAAACACTCTGGAAGTGTCCTTACTTCTCAATGTAGTGCTAACTTCTCACAACCAAACCAGCTTAACCAAGGGCTTGACACGACCCTGTTCCAAAGTCCTCCTCCTTCATGGCTCGTAGTGTGGATAACAACAAAGGCAGGTGCCTCCACTGCGAGTTGAGACTGTTTCACTACTTGCATAAACTTTCTGCCTCTGCTTCTCCTTTTTTCGAATGATATCCATCAGCATCTTCATTTAGCTAAGGATTTCCAGGGAGAGCCTGTGTCCTCCCTGAAGAACTATTTCTTTTTCCAGGACTTCATTACAGCCTTAACATAAAGCACGTGCTCTGCCACTACTCCCAACATGTTCCTGCTGGACAGTTTGGGGTGGTGACCATTTCCTTTTGGGATTACCTGTGATCTTGTTGCCAAACAGCGCCTTTTGCCAAGCCAAAAGCTCAGGGTGGAAAACTACCCCAGACCTTTTATTGGTACTAATCCCAGTGCTAAGAGTCTCATCCTCTCCTCCTGTTTTATCTTTTTGCCCTTTGATTTTTTGGTGTGCACTTTTGCAGGATGGTCAGCAACTTCTTTTGGTTTCACTTTGATTTTAACTCCTCAGCTTTCCCCTGGTACCTTTTTTATACCATATCCCACCTTCTGGACAGAGGATACTGCATGAGGATCTTTTCAAACTTCCATGGAGAGGGTTGAGCCTGCATCTATTCACAAGACCGGTGGGCAAGTTCTCTGGCACATTTGTGGTGCTGGATCCACCCTGGGATCATCTAAACCAGCCAACTGTGCCATGCATGAGGGCTCCATCATCCCGACTGTTATTGCTCAAACCTCCCCTGGCATGGTTTTGATCCACTCCAAGGAGTCCTGGGCTCAGGCACAGCTTGCCCAGGCTTTGACACTGGCCAGAGACCGTCCCCAGTCAGCAGTTTGGATGCAGCTGCTCTGTATTAGGGGTGGAAGATTTTCGGCATCAGGATGGGGCCAACACTACTCAGTTGACTTCATGGCCAGAATGGATCCTGGAAGTGCTTAATTTCCTGACAAAGACGTAACTCCATGCCACAGACCAGGATGCAGAAGGTGGTGGAGAACGTCAGCTCCGATCTGGCATTTTTCTGTTTTCTGCCTGATTCAATGGACAATTTATTTTTCAGTTCACTTTGTTCCTTTTGCTGAGGTTGTTTTGCAAACTGCATCACTTTTATGGTTCGGATGTCAACCCATCCATCCCTCCATCCATGTCAGATGGATGGCATGTTTACTGTGATAGTGTTACACATCCATAGGCAGCTAATTCAGAGACAGGAATCATTCAGACCAGAGCAAATCAACAGTGGAAACACAGGAATTACAAGGCCCCTGCCCATGCCCTTGTCATGCTTTGCCACCCACACGAGGCATTTTTCATCTGCAGATAATCCAACCTGAATTGTAGAAGAGGAGCCAATGGTGAATATTTACCAGTCCAAAGTGCAAGTGAGACACCCATTTCAAGTGTAAATATATATATTTTCAGTGGAGCTACTTCTCTGCTTCACCCTGTCCTTTTGTGCATCTGCCAAAAGTCAGCAGTCATTTGCATGTATTTTTATTTCAAGCTGACTGGATGAAATGGCAAAATTAATTCCAAGCTTTAGTGAATTGTCTGCTAAAACCTGGCTCACATGAGGAGCATCACTATTGACTTTCAGAGTGCAATCACCCCGTGCTCTATAGATATATTTTTGTACACACAAGATTCACTTCACAATTTATCCCACCCCTGGCCCTGCATGTCACACCTGTCACCTGCACACCTGCAGCATGACTAAACCTCCTGAAGAAAATGTGGTCTGAGGTTAGTCCAGCCTGATTCATTAAAGCTCAGAGGTGCTTTGAAAAGGAAAACTTACTACTGTGCATTTGCAAAACCTTTTAGTGCCTGCTTGCTGGGCAGCTTGGGCAGGAGACAATTTGGAAGCTGCCGGAGTCGGTGGAAATTTGTGGAGACAGGCTTTCCTAGGATTTTTCTTCCTTTTACTGGGTTTGCTTTTCTCTGAGTTCTGCTCAGATCGAATGTGGTCCTGCAAAAGAAAACCCACCAGAAAACAAAAAACCCAAATAACCATGACAAAATAAGGTCTATGCCAATCCCCACAGAAGCTGAGGTGGCTGATGTAGGACGGTAGGGATGATGTGAACTCCGTTGTGGACCCTTTGCTTGCTGGAG